CCAACTTATTTTGGTGAGGGAGGGGGTGGAGGTGTATGTACAAGATCGACCTGCATGTATTTTTCAAAGCGTACTGTTATTAGCCATCGGCTGTGCAGCGCAACGAATTGGGACCTCGCTACTGAACAGTAGCTGTCGCTCCTTTCAGGTGAAATTTCAAAAAGCCGTCTCCTTGCTTTTGGATACCAAATGCAAAGACAAAGCCATTCCAGCAAGCAAATACCTTTATTATATCTTTTTTCGCCATGACCCTAAGGAAAGGAAAGGAAAAGAGATGAAAATGATCAACACTGGAATGTCGGTCTAACATCACTTTCATGATGAGACCATTATGGTGCCCTTTTTATGAAGTTAATGGTGCTGTGCTGATCTCCGTAATTTACATACGCTCTTACACTGTATCATAATTTATACATGATATTGATCATTGAATTATTTACGAAACGAGACCTACTACGCACTGCCTTATGCACACAAGAAATTTTCAGCTGATGGAACTGATCAGCTTGCTACCATTGTTAAGATACGAAACGGGTGACCTCCGACCTATTCAGGCCCCGGGTTAGAGCCTTTTGCAACGTACGTGCAGAACAACGAATTCAAAAATAAACTTTAACAAAACCAAACGTTTTAAAAATATTGAAAAATATATCACGCTAGTTTTCTTGTTATAGCAAAAGTTCGTTAGAAACTTAACATTCTCTTCAACCGTATCAGGACAGTTCATTTAGAAGGAACCTGAAAATCATTACTTGCGGAAGTGCGTACACTACAGTGCGTAAGACTTGCTTAATTTTCGTAATGGGCGACCGCCATTCGGTGAAGAATTAGGTTTTGGTATATCTTTGTGGGGCGGCCGGAAAACCCGAAGTCGTTTCTTGACAAATCTGCCTTAAGGTTCCTCTATTTCCGGCGAACTTTGACTCTTGGTTGCCCCGGTGCACTATCTTACATGTAAGTTCCAATTTTTGGATACCACGACTCTTGTTTGACGTGATAGGATTCATTATAACGTATTAAAGTTGACAGTTCTGTTTCGCATATTTTTTGTCCATAAAATTTGTTTTCGCGCACTTAGTGTAAAACCTTCGCAGCTGCGATAAACTCTGAAGAAAAGCTGTAACATTCGGATGATCCATTATTTATTACAGATTTTCTATTGTAGATGCATTTATTGTTTCATATTTTGATACACGTATACAGTGGTACCAGTTTTCCAGAAAAAAGAGTTCACTCAGGCACAGCATATGTGAAATTATTGCCTTTACTTGCTGCTACTAAAACACCTGTTTGACTTCAGTGTTTTATACCTCTTGTTTGTTCCCTTTTAGCAAACCCCGATTTACAGCTACCTCGGCGTATCGTTCGAGAGCGTGTTTTTCCGCACGCTTGACATCCTCTTTCAGAAAACACCTGCGCATACTACCCTTACTTTAACTGTAGCTGATCAGATGCTGTCGGCTTCTGTTAAGTTAGGTGATTCTGCTAGATGACAACTATTTTTATAAATTCTTCTACGTTTATTCAGATATGTATTTTTGAGATGTACTCTTTTCAGTCAACAGAGTGTCTCTTAGTGCTAGGTTGCGGTAGCAGAATGGTAGCAGGTCAGCTTCGAATATCGTTGGGTTGGAATCCCGAAAGAGCAAAAGTTATTTTAACTACTAATTCGCTTCGGAAAGACTTCATCCTGTGTTGGTTCCGCACAACCAGCCAAGACACAGGTGACATGTCTTTGACTTTCTGACAGCATGGTGTTCTGGTGTGGCCATAGCAGAATAGGTCCCAGTATCGCTGAATCTGTGCGATTGCTGAGACATACAGAAAGTCTGTGATTTTGCGGTTGTTACTGACCTTGCAGAATGACGAACTGCATGACGAATATCGTCGAATCTATCTTTTCATCTTAAACCCTACATTTAAATGTTCATGTGCATTAACTTTCTATTGATCAGTCGGTCTCCTCTTCAACATCCTTTATTCCTTGTCTCATTATTATATATCTTTCTCCAAACTCTGAGGGATCCGGAGATATTCAAAAATTTAGGAACTCAATCCCACAGATCTCAGCCCTTCATACCTTTGTACAGTAATGCTGTTTTCTAAACAGTATTCTTTCATATACCTTCCAGATCTGTAACTGAAAGACAGGTAGGTCTGATCTTTCATTGCGATAAAGTAGAATTGAATTGAATCTTATCCGTTGTTGCTTGTTAATTATTATATATGTTATGCGAATGTGTCGATGATCGCTGAAATGTCTGTCGATGCGCCATTTTCTCTAATTTAAGCAATGAACTGTGTTGATTGATTGATTATTTTTGAATGGGCGAGAACCAATGCCCTGCTGATTGAGGCGAACCCCTTTTAGGGCTGCAGTTCACTCATCTGGTGTCTGAGATTCCAGTATTACACTCGACACAACATGTAAACCTTGTTGTTGTGGTTGTTTATCGAAAATTTTGCTCCTGCGTTGCTATTTGCGTCATACCGAAACACAGCTGCGTTAATTATACAGAAAGCAAAAATGTTGGTCTGTCAGTGGATAGACTGCTATCGCTGTTTCGATCCGTATCTCACAGGTCGACACTATTTATGGTCATAGGTCATCGTATGTTTCCTTGTCTCCAGCAGTTGGTTTGCGTCGAACTCTAAGGCATTATGTAATTATATATGCAAGAAATCTTAAATTAATCCAAGAAACATCTTTTCTGCATGTCGGACATCGTTATTGGAGCTGTTATAGCACTATGATTCTAGATGCCACTATATATGCAAGAACCCTGTTTCATAAAACCTCAATAATTCCGTTCCTTGCTTCGATTCTTAGAAACTTTCAACCGAGCATAAAAATCTGTCAAAACCGGAACTGAAATTATAATTGGTGCTCTTCATGGGTCCGTTGTTTGCTTTTGAGGTAGTAAATTTTATGCTGGTAAGTTAATGTTAATATGAAATGATGATCACGAAAGGAAGATATATGAAATTAATCAACGAATAAAAGTTTACTGGTTGAATGTGATCTCGAAAGAATTTCATTTTTT